CAGATGGTGCCGGCGGTGCACCACAATGTCGACCGGGGCGGTAAATTATGGTGGACGACGTTTGGGGGTTAAGGTAAATAATTTAAGGGTTTAAGGGGTTGGAAATGGTTCATGACACGGAGGAAAATGAGGTTCTAGTTCTAGGTATTAAAACCCAAAAATAAAACAATTATAATATATTTTTATTATTTTAAACATAAATAGTGACCTAGGCCGGTTGGTAAGGGTATGCTAGCCATACCTTAGGTCACATGTTTAAGCCTGCCAGACCCCTTAACTCTTTTTTTTTTGTCAAGAGAGCATGAGAAAATTATAGAATTGGTCCCTGAATTTTCCAAACTTTTAAATTTAGCCTAGAAGTTTTAAAATTTTACAGTTTGATCTGAAAAAACAATTAATTAATTTTAAATAAATTTTAAATAAATTTTGGGATGTGACATCACCACTGACTATTTAAAAAATATATTTTTATCATTAGATCACTGAGAATATATTATTTTTATTATTATATTATTAATTTTAAACAAAAATAACGTCATTATTTGATAAAAGAATATATTTAACTTTTAATATTTACATAATTTATCTTTTTTATTTATAATTATAGAAATCCTTAACGTTTTTAGATTTTTTAATTGATCATTAGAAAAAATAAAAAAAATATATTTTATTTTCAGGATATTATTAATAAATGTCAAATCAAATTTTAAATTTTCTTACATTTTTTCAAATAAAACATAAATATATTTAGAATGAGGTTAAAATGTTAATTTAAAAGATAAATTTAAAATATAAAGTGAAAAGTATATAATTAAAAAAAAAGTGAATCAAACGTATTACATACTAGTCAAATGAATTAAGCACATATTATATAAAAAAAGTAAAAAAAAAATAATAAAAAGGGTAATCTACGTATTTAGTATCTAAACTATCAATTTTAGTTAATTTTAGTGCTAAACTTTTTTAAAATTTCAAAACCATACATAAAGTTTAGTTTTTATTTTATTTTAGTGTTTGTCGTTAAAAACTTAACGCGTTTAGTACATAAACTATCAGTTTTAGTCAATTTTAGTATCTAAACTGTTAATCTTTTCAAAACTTCATGTTCAATTTTGAACGAGTTACTCTAATGAAACAAAAACTAAAGTTTTTAACGACGTAATACTAAAATGAAACAAAACTAAACTTTAGATATGATTTTGAAAAAAATTATAAATTTATGTACTAAAACATATAAAAACTAATAACCTAAATACTAAACACGTAATTTATCCAAGAAACTACTTGATCCATGATTCCCTCCAACGATCCATCCGAAAAGATTTATGATGCTACCGCACGGAGAGGGATAAACTATACCATTCACTAAGTTATTAACTTATTATGGTCTCTTTTTATTTTGATAATTATTTTTGAAATTTGGTTAATCAGATAATTCAATTATTTAAATACATTCAATCAAATTACTTGCCGTTAAAATTTAATAGAAGTGTTGACGTAATAGTTAATAAAATTGATATAATTACACATTTAATCGTTATTATTTATATATTATATCAATTTGATCATAATTTTAATTCACTTTAATAATCTGTCACCACCTTATTTGATACAAACCAGTACAAAGAAATGCAACTAAAGGGATCTGTTGACGAAAACGGGTAAAGAAAACAAAAGAACACGAGAATTTTACGAGGTTCGGCAATGTGCTTACGTCCTCGGTGCCTAGGCGACGCTAGAAGTTTTTATTCAATGATGATATTTTAGGTCTATGTTACATCTCTATTTATAATAGAAAACCCTGGTACATAATTACAAAATTAACCCTGTACCGTATCGCGGGGCTGCGCCCCCGCACCCCCAACCCACATAATTCGTAACCCCACAACGAGACTTTCTTTGTAAGGACAGTTGATGTTCGCTTCGCTCACTCCGCTCCATCTCCTGTCCTCTTTACTAGTATATTTATAAGCCATACCTAACAGGATCAAGCCAACATCCTAATACTTACCCAGGAGTACCAGAACCACTGGGCTAAGCTCCTTAGTAATATTTTACAACACTTTATATATAATGTTTCCTGCTGAAAATCATATGATGTAAGGAAAATAAACTGAAAGGAAAAGAAGCAATTGCTAGGAATCAAAATTTGGTCTTCAAATGTGTTAGGGGGCACTCCTACCTCCATATCAACACTCATATTTAATTTATGTCTTACAACTTATTATATTTAGTTTATAACAGAAAACTACAAATGAATCAAACCTTAATTTTTTAGAGAATATATAAATACCAAAACTATTTAAGCATATTTAATTAATGTTATATATATATATACTAAAACGTATTTAATATGAAATTTAAAATAATAATAAATTTAATATTTTAAAATTAAATTTGATATGTATTAAATAAATAATATTTTTAAAATAAAATTAAAAATTAATTTCACCAAAATTTGAATTCAGATTTTAAACTATATTTATTTTTATATAACCAAAATATACATAATTAATAATCTTTATATTGTTTCTTTATATATAATCATTAAATTTAATTTAATTTATCAATAAAAAGTTAATTTAATAATTATATATAAAGGAATTATATAAAAATAAATATAGTAAAAAATATAAAAAAACTAAATTTAATTTTTATATTTCAAAAATAATAATTTAATGATTATATATATATAAAATATTGTAAATTTCAAATTAATATAAGTTTGATTCAATTGCTAAGGTACTTACACTCTCTCTTAAATTTTAAAGTTTGAATCTCTCTATAAACATGTTAATTTTCTCTTTTTTTTTCTCTTCTATTAATTATAACAACTTATATATAAGTTTTTTTAAATCATTATTAAGTTATGTGATTAGCCTAGTGGTTTAGGCATTCTTAAAATAAATTAAATAATAAACATAATAAAATTCCCTCAAATCTAGTAGTGATAAAATATATAAATATTAAGGATCGAATGAGTAATTATATCAATTTTATTAACTGACTTTCATTTAACGACAAGTGATTTTATTGAATGCATTTAAATAGTTAGATGACCTGATTGACGAAATGTGAAAAATAATGATCAAAATGAAAAAAGACAATAGTTACATGGTCAACATTATAATTTACCCAACGGAGAGCTTTCTAACATGTATATTCGAGTTCGACTCGTTGCCTCGTTACTCGCTGGTAGTTTGAGTTGATTGCTGGTGCTGGGGTTTCCTCGATCCTTGATTTTCCTTTTATTTTATTCCGTAATAAAAGAAAATTTAAGTACTTATAATTGTTTCGTTTGTCAACGAATTTAGAAAGAGTAAATGGCTGATGGTTATTGGAATCGACAACAGCCAACATCTCCGATGCTTTCTTCTGGTGGGATGCTTAAACGACCACGTACTGACTACGGTACACTTCTTTCTTTTCCGCTATAAACCTTTTTTTGCCTTTTACTTTGCTTATTTTCCGAGTTTTTGTGAATTTTTGTTTTAGTTTTAGCTACTTTTGAGATTAGTTTAGGAAACGAAAAGTGAAATTTTTTTCCTGTTAAAGCTCAGTATTGAAGTAAAGCATTGGTTTGATGTTAGGTTCCATTTCGTTGAATTAGATACATTTATGGATAAACAAGAACGAATGTTTATATCCTTTTAACAATGAAAATGAATGCCGATGTTACTCGGACTTACTATGCGGCTAAAATCAATTTGTTTATTTTTCCCTAAGCTTTTCCATATATTGAAGGATCAAATTCCGAAGTACTCTTCCTACAGTCATTAAGCATCTTATTAATTTGTCAAATCTTGTTAAACAAGTTCATCAACCACCCAATCCAGACCTCATTGAGGCACTTTCAAACTTTGATAGGAATTGCATCTTTGCCAATCACCATTTTGATCTTTATTGGGTGCAAGGTCTTTTCGATCTCAAAAGGTCTTATCTTATGTCACATTTTAAGTCATCTAGTGGTATATTCAGGTGACCCTATATTAAAAGCAATTATAATTGAAGAATTCATTAGAATATTTCCATCCCTCTGTATTATCATCCTTCGCCAAGATCATTTTGTTATCCTTAAAAGACATACCAGTTCCCAAATGACTAGTCTGCTTCTCCCTCTTCTGTGCAAAGCCTATAAATATAACACCCTCCGTTGGGTCCAATTTATCAAAGTATTTTTATTCCCCTCACTCTAGCATTCCTGTAAAGTCTTCTTAGACTCCTTTCCTAGCTTGTCTATCTCGAAGTTCTTTATACCCCTACAACCTCTTAAGTTTTTTAGTCAAATAATTTGTTTTAAATAACTGCTTTTACTCAATCATCCCTGACCCTACCATGATGTGTTCTTCAGTTGTGATGCTCTGCTACCTCTACATGATTGATTACATGTAAGAGAACTTATGTTCCAAGATACTTAACCTAGACTAAAGTTTGGCCTTTCTTTAATCCTTGTTGCCTCTTAGCTTGGGCGAATGGACCTTTAATCCTATTTCAGATCATACCCAATTGTTGATGTGGCACTTTGCTCAGGGGCAATTACCTAAAATCCCATGCCCATTTATCATTTGCTCCTGGGCACAAAGATGCAGAACATTGTTTAGTAGCAATTGCCCCAACATTAGTTCTCTTATATTGGTTAATGTCAAAAGGCATTATAGGTTTCCTGCTGGCTATCACAGGCGCCCCACAGCCTTCCTTTATTTGAGCTTGGGACTAGCAGTGCAAGCACAAGTTGATTTCCATTTTGTTTTTAACAAATTTAATAAATATGTTTTTTTCACCTTGCATCTATTGTGAAAGACATTATCTACTTTTAGAATGAGTTACACATTCAACTTGACAGATGCTCCGCCTTCTGGAATGCATTCAGCTCTTGAGATGCATAATTATCTGCAAGAGAGGATGATCAAGTTGGACATCTATTTGTGAAGGATACGAAATCCATTGGATCAGCATATGATCGTTATCTCCAGAGCACGGTACCATCTTGAACCTTTACTCATTCTGATTTATTCCTCACCTAGCATCTACATTGTTGTATTCTAAAGTGTTCATCAAATTGCTTTTGAAGAAACTTTCTTCTTTTACTTCTGGAGAAGTTAGTACATTTGGTGGGTTGATAAGGGGTGTTGGTGGTGCAATGCCTTCTCATCCAATAGCTGATCCTCCTGTGATGGGTCGTCTTGGATCTGCTGCTCCAGATTTGTCACCAAATGGTCAAAATGTCGGTTTTAGTGGTCAAGTTCCGGTAGATGCAATGACAAGGCCAGGTAGGGATACTATTCCTCTACCTCCAGATGCTTCCAACACTATACGTTGAAGGGTTTCCTCCTGACAGCACAAGGCGGGAAATAGCCCGCATCCTATTTAGTGTAGTGCTTGATAAGATATATTGACCTGTTCAATGATACAATATTTTAACTTTTTTACCTGGCTTCCGATTGTTGGTTCACATTCCTTGATCAAGGCTTTAGATATCTTTCGCCCATTTGATGGATATGAAGAAGTACGATTAGTGAGCAAAGAACCCCGACAGGTAAGTGGAGTAGGCCTTGCCAAATATTTCATTTGTCTACTGTAGCATAGCTCATTTGTTGTTTTCTTTGCACGTGAAATTGTCGTAATTGAGAGTGTTCTATCGAATGGTAAAACCTGGTGCATTGTAATACAGCGTGGTGGATCCTGTTATCCTTTGTTTTGTTGATTTTTCAAGTCCTGCATGTGCGGCAACTGCAATGAGTGCCTTGCAAGGTAATCTCTTCTTTCTTTGATTTTGACATTTATAGAAGGTAGCTGATCATAGGAAACCTTAGTGAATACTATTGAATGATATTGGTGCTCTTGAGCATTTGGCTTAAGTGCTAGGTTTCTGTATCCACTGCTCAAAGAGAGAAAGATTGATATCTATGGCTTTTTAAGCTATATATTTTTCCCATTATCCATTTCTCGATGCATATATCTATATTTCTATGTCATATATAATGCTTTTGACCTAGTTAGAATTACAAGTTAGACGGTACTAACTCAGTTGTTGTACTTGCACAAATATCAAGTAACAATAATATCTGTATAATTAAAGATATACATATATATGTCATTTTATTTTTCTATACAAAATTATTTTCCTATAATGAAACTATTGTATCTTAAACATGTAACTATAGCTATCCAACAACTTGACTGTGTTCAACTAAGCTTGGATGGTAATAGTTTTTTACTTGTTCAAGATCCTGTCTAAATCTGGTCAAGCCTAGAGATCAAGATCATGTCTAAATCTGGTCAAACCTAGAGACCCAACTAGCCTTTGACTATACGGAACTTTTTCTTCCTTTTAAAACACATTTCCCCCCTCAAAAACATCTACATTCTGTAGTCTTTGTTATTTGTTAATATATATATTTTTTAATTTCCTGAGTAAGTCTTGTTATATTGTGCAGGTTATAAAATGGATGAACATGACCCGGATTCTAAATACTCGAGGCTGCAGTTTTCTCGACACCCCGGCCCAAGGTCGGGTCCTGGAACTCGTGGAAGGAGGTAAATGTGACTTTCTTTCGGCAAATAGGCTATCTTTTTCTATATACGGTAAGATTTTGAAGACGCACCATCTTTATGAAATAGTACATTTAAACCATGTAATTTAAATTACTCGATCCCGATGAGCATTTTCCTTAGAGATTACCAGAAATTTAGGAGTGTGGATCAAGCAATACTAGAATTGCTTGCACGTTTCAGGAATCCATGTTGTACCATGACTTAAGAGATATAAGAGCTATTTTTGTTGTAGAGATAAGATCTTTGTAGCATCTGCAATAGTGTTAGTTGATTATGGGCATTGTGATTGTAGATCTCTACTAAGAATAGTTTTTAAAGTAATTTGAACCTGAATTAGAGCTCAGCAAAAGAATTAAAACTGATTCAAATCATAGTATTTGGTTCAGTTTGATTTTATTAAACTTCGGTTCTATTTTGGTTCACTTATAAAATTTGGTTAAGTTTTGGTTTGGGTTTAATTTACAAGTTAAAAAAACTACATTTATTTGATTCAAATTGAAATGGTTTTCATTTTATATTTTATTAATGAAAAATAACTTTAAAATATTATTTTTCGAGCATCTTTCTGATGATACATGCCGCTTTGTTAGGGCATCGAGTTAATAACTCGAAAGCATTATATACTCTTTGAATGTCGTTAGGCTGAAGAGTGATCGGTAAAGAGCAACCCACTAAGGTCTTGTCCCCCATATCTCTGAAAAGAGGCTAGGAGTGTTTCTTGATATCTAAACAGTTAATGTTTTGCCTGGTCAAAAATCAAACGCCAAGGTGTGCTCCTCTCATGGTTTCGCATGTTCAAACGTCTAACATGCTCTTGGGCTCTCTCTTAGAATCGGAGGACAACCTTGAGGGTGCGCCACTCTTCAGTGGTTCTTCTTCATTAGAATTGCACTAAGAAATAAATTATGTTACAAGAGCACAAAAGCGTCCACATTTTGGAAGACTTATTCAAACAAAAAATACAAAAAACTCGTGCGACTATGTAAGCTTGATAAGAAGACTAGTCATTATTATTGATTGTGAATATCTTGATTCCGATTAAAAAATGTTCACGACTCGTATTATATATCGAATTAAAATTTATATATAAATTGATTTACAGTCATTAAAAATTGACATAAAAATAACAAAATTATCTCTTAATTAATTAATTTTAATATTAATTTTAAAAAAAGTAACTCTTTAATATTTTAATAGTGTATCAATTTTTGAGGTGATAGTAAAATTATATATATATAATTTTACTTACGTGGTGTATATACAACTACTTAAAAACAGAATCTCGCATTTACCCTTAAATATTAGGTTCAATTTATAAAATAAGTGTCTAAACTATTATAAAATAAGTGCCTAAATTAGAGTTACAAACGTTACCACTTTAGGTGCTCGGGCCATAATTGTCGTTAGTTTTTTCGTTAAGTGACATGTGTCACATTCTGATAATTTTGATATTTATTTTTTTAAATTAAATATATTATTATATTTATTAAAAAAAACTCTAATTTCTCTTAAAGTACAAAAAATATCTAAATCTCTAAAAATCCTAAACCCTAACCTTAGTTCACTACCGTTGATCTTTTCGGCCACAACCACCATCGCCGACGTAGTCTCTACCATCCTCCTATTCATACGTCGCCATAGTTGTCGTCGATTAGCTGTCGAAATCGTGTGGGATAACGATTTTCATCCTAGGGTTCGTAGGTACAAGATATCGATTGGTCGTGATTTCATAGAGTTATTGATTGTTGGGAAAAATGAGGTCTGGTGGAGTTTCGTCAACAGCAAAGGATGGCGGTCGACATGGATTTAAGGGTTGAAATTAAGGTATTTAAAGTTTTGGGGCTATTACAAAATTTTTGTGTTTTTTAAATATAATTTTTTATTTTTAAATAATTTTTTTAAATTACTAGAATGTGACATGTGTTAATTAACAGAGAAAATTAACAGCGTTTATGGTGCGGACGCCTAAAGTAATAACTTTTATAATGTTAGACATTTGGATGATTAAAAAAATAGATTAGACACCTATTCTTTAAAAAACACTATATTTGGAGCACTTATTTTATAATTAAGCCTAAATACTAATATATGTATTTTTGGGTCTGGCCTACGCGAGACTAAACAGACAAGGCGTAGAGTCCTTTAGCCACCTTTCGGAAAAGAAACCAGACTCTTTACGCAACACCCAACCCCAAGCCTCCTCCTATGTTATTTAAATCCCGTGTGATTCCCTGCTTCGCACCGTATTCTTCTTCTCTGATCTCCGTCCATGAAAATGGAGGATTCGCCGATCAGCCGTCTCTCCGAAGACACTCTCAATCAGATATTCTCTTACCTCTCTCTTCGTGAAATCGTGATCTGCCGCTCCGTTTGCAAGCTCTTTAACCAAACCCTGACCTCACCGTCTTTCATGCACCTCATCTCCACCCGATCCCACCTCAACCTCCTCGCTGTCCGACCCCCACATCACCACCATAATCATCACAACCGCCACGTGTCCCTCTATTCCTTCATCCACGTCTACGATCCCGATCAGAATCAATGGCTTCGATTCAGCCTCGATTTCCTTCCCTTCCGATCTCCTCACCCCGTCGCGTCTTCGCTCGGTCTGTTATACCTCTGGGCTGACACTCCGGACTCGAACAAGTCACTCATCGTTTGTAACCCCTTGACTCGTCAATACAAAGTACTCCCTCAACTCGGCTCGGCTTGGTCGCGCCATGGCTCCGTGCTAGTTGACTCATGGAACCGAGTCATGGTCTTAACGGAACTGGCTGCTCTTTACTTCTCCTTTTCTCAGGAAACCCAACAATGGCTCAAATTCTCTTCGAATTTACCTTCCAAACCCCGAAGCCCCATTGTGATTTCCAACTCCGTTTTCGCCCTATGCGACGTGGGATCGCCGTGGAGAAGTAAGTGGAAATTATTCTCTTGCGCTGTCAAAAATTTGTTAAATTTAAATTTAAATGTGATGAACAATAACTGGGAATGTTTGGAAAGGCATGAATGGGGTGACATTTTCGATGTAATGAAAAGACCGCGTTTAGTACCTGGAAATGGGAACAAGATCTTGATGATTGGGGGTTTAAAATCGAGTTATTCCTTTAATCAATCTGGTTTGACGATTTTGATTTTGAGATTGGATTTGGAAACAATGGAGTGGGAAGAGGCAACAAGGATGCCAGAGGCGATGCTCAGGTGGTTTCAGGATAGTAAATTTAAGGTGTTTGGAGGAGGGAATAGAGTTTGCTTTTCCGGGAAGAAAATTCGGAGACTGGCTCTTTGGGATTGCTGCAAATGGCGGTGGATTGATGGGGTGCCTGGAAACGGGGATGAGCTTTTCCGGGGATTTACATATGAAGCTCGGCTTACTGCAGTTCCTTAAATCCATGCCTGTTATGTTCTTACATTGTTCACTATTTGAATCATTGCTGGATTTTGCTTGAATCGCTGTGAATGGTGGTAGATTGATGGGGTGATTAGAAATGTGGACGAGTTTTTCTGGGGATTTACTGTTTGAGCTCGGCTTACCCTGGTTCATTAAATGGATGCTCGTTGCGTTCTTACAATGTTTACCACTTTGAATCATTGTTGTTTTTTGTTTATGTTCTTCTAGTGAAATGAAAGATTCAGGGTAGTGCAAAAAGACTGTAACCTGTTGTCGAGACCTCAGGGACTCAAGAATGAAAAGTGGGAATTGAGTTCATCTTAGGCAATGTAAATTGTTAATTAAGATGAAAAACAGAACCCCGAGAATTTGAGATTTCTTCTATTACTATTTTCAATGCTTAATTGGGACATTTGAATTATTTTCCTCTGAAATTAATGGAAGAAACAAGCCTTATGAGATCAATGTATGAGCCATTGTTAAAGCCAATGGCTTTTTCCGTCATTTATATATCACTTTAGATAGTTCAACTGATAAGAATAACATCATGGTGTGTATTGGAATGTTTTGTGATTTATGGTAGTTTTGGAATCAAAAGTATGAAGTCATAGCTAGGATTGATGTAGTTTTTCCAAGGATGTATTATAAAGGCACCATTTGGGAGAGATCTGAACTAATTTGAGTGGTGCTTTAGATATGTTCTTTTGTCTGAGAGATTGCTCTTCTGTCGGTTGTAGGATTTGGGATGAGGTGGCTGTGAGAAGAACTAAAATAGTTGACCTTAGTGAAAGTCATGGTAGAAAGGACATGTTTTGAAGTTTCTAACGACTCTCTTCTCTTCCTTTCTCCTCTCTGTATTCCATGTTCCTATGTTCTTTCTGTTCTTCTCTTCTCGTCTATTTCTTCTCTATTCACAGGTTTGTCATTGATTTTAATTTGGCCTGTATTTGTTTCTATGTGAGAATGAAGATTCAAATGAAACCAAAATATAAATTGCAGTGAAAGCATGAATTGGAGCTTAAAATAAATATTAGTTCTAACACAATAAATATCACTCTTTTTGCTACAAGTATACTTGCAAATTCATATGCAAGAAAGAGGACAAAGATATTTGTTCATATGATTTGGCTATATTGTCACTATTACTTTTATCTCATTTATTTTGAATTTTGTCGCTTACCACATTAGAAAGAATTCATGGCATACTAATAAAAGCAAATGCATGCTGAATATGATAGTGTCAACTTTAATAGTAGGAGCTAGTTATAAAATTATGCTAAAAAAACTATCCTTCAAGATGCAGTCAGATTGCCTTTAGAAACCTTTGTTTATGGGCAGGGGAGTTTGTGGTTCTGCTAATTCTTCAAGAGTCGTTAACTTGTGAATATTTGTTAAATGTTAAATCATTATAGTGTTGTCTGTATGTGATAGGCTGCCATCGCTACCTTCTAATTTAGATACTAATCACAATTAGCTTTTCGGCCAAAAAAAAAATCACAGTTAGCTTGGTAGAACTCGAGTCTGATTTAGCAGAATTGGTGACATCATGAACTTCTTGCATAAGTAGACTCTTGTTTTTTTGGAGGATATGAATGGATAGAACACAGATAATATTGAGCTTTTTGAAGTAATACCTCACTGATTATCAAAATGGTATGAAAATAAGTACTTTTTTTTATACGGGTCATAAATGTTTCCTTATGATCATAAAGGATAGGGATTAAGCACTTGAGCTAACATCCCTATTGCTAATTACTTGCACATGTGCTTGTATTGGGCTCAAGATGTTAGGACGTGATCCAAAATCCTAGAGAGCTTAGCATGTGCTTAGTGCTATTATTTCTTTAGAAGCCCCTGCAAGCAGTGGAGTATGAATGATTGTGCAGGAATCCTTATATGGTTTTTATCTCGTGAATATATGTTGTTTAGATAATCAATATATGTTGTTTAGATAATCAATATAGCGTTTTTTTGTTTATACATGATAGGCATCCATCTTTTCCTTAAAATTAGGATGCTAATATCAAATAGCTTGGGAGAGCTTGAATATGATTTATCAGCATTGGGCTCATCAAGAACTTCATGCATAAGAATATTCAGTCCTGTTTTTACACGAAGACGAATGGATGATATGAATATAAGCCTTGTCTGATACTATGTTACTCAAATTTGCGTGCGAGTTTTATATACTGATATTGTCATGGTTGGTGGAGGACATGAGGAAGGAGGAGAAGACGATCGGGGAAGTGAAGAGAGATTTGGAGAAAATGATAAACGAGGGTTAGGGATTGCTGAAGGAATTGGGATTTTTACCTGATGAAGTTAAGGTCACGTGAGGAGCACGGGTTCATTAAACCCAACAACTATTTGAAGATCCAGCAGCCGTGAGCCCAATAGAGAAGTCCACCAAAGAAGCCTAAGGATAATATGCAGTAACAGAATTAGTTAGAATCTAAGCCAGCTGGCTTGTTAGATTTTATAGTACACTGTATAAAAATAAATATACCTGCAAAAGGGAGGATTATGCATCATTTCTTCAATCTTTTCTGTTTCTATTCTGAAATCTCATTTTTCTCTTCTTCATTATCTTGCTTTCATCACAAATTGGTATCTCAGAGCCAAATTTTCCTGGCAAAACGTTACTGGAATGCCAAAGAAAAATTAAAAATGACTGAAACAGCAGAAAATTCAGCATTACAAAAATAATTGGAGGAGTTATCAACGTTGGTCAAGTAATCTCAGGATGACTCGAAGATTCCTAAATGGTGGGAGAATCAAGAAAATCGACTTTCTTCATTGGAATCCAGGATGGCCACTAATCAAGGGTATGTGGAGGAATTATTGAAGATTTTAACTGGTAAAAATGGGGAGCAGAACCAGTCTGATAATGAGCAGGTACAGTCCCCTAACGCTTCTAAAACAGAGGGTAAACAACCTGTAAAAGTCACTGTGCTTAATGATAAGACTAGGTTTACTTATAAACCTAATGAACCTGGAATTCTAAGATCTAAACCAGGGGATTTACCTAGTTTTAGAAATGATGTCCAAGCAGGAGAGAACAGTGCAGTTAGAAACAATATAGTCAGTTTGGAAGTGAATAAAAGAGGCACTGGAGGTTTCTCTAATACTGCAGGGTTAATGTGGTATATACCCAAGATTGAGCTGCCTTTTTTTTGAAGGAAATAATCCTAGAGGGTGGATACAAAAATGCCTCAAGTATTTTTCTTTATGTAATAATGCAGAGGAACAAAAGGTGGAGGTGGCTACAATGTATTTAATGGGGAAGGCATAAATCTGGTTCGATGGTTATATTATGCAAAAGCATCATGTGACATGGCATGAATTTGAGGCAGATCTTTGTCATAGATTTTATGATAAGTACTTTGCTGATATAGTGGAGGAATTATCAAAGTTAGTGCAGAAGGGATCAGTGGAGGAGTACCAGGACATGTTTGAAGAATTACAACCTCATATGTTGTTACAGAATCCTACTCTAGGTGAGGAGTTTTTTGTCTCTCTTTTTATTAGTGGGCTAAGAGAAGATATCAAGCATAGAGTAAAGGTTTTGGAACCAAAGACACTCTCTGAAGCTTGCAGACAAGCTAAACTGTATGAGCTTTATGTGGAATATGAGAATAAAAGAGGGAGAGCATTTTTTAGAAACCCACCCTACCCAAACCCATTACCTACTACTAAACCTAATTTATCAAACCCACAACAGAAAGGTTCAGTTAGTCTGCCTCCAAAACAGAATTTATTGGAGTACATGAGACAAAACAACCTATGTTTTAAGTGTGGTGAGAAGTTCTCTCCAGGGCATCAATGTAAGATTAAGCAATTGAATATGATGATTGAAGTAGAACCTATTTTATCTTCAAAAACTTTACCAAATGAGACAGAACAACAAGTGTTACAAGAAGATGAGAGTCTAGAAATTTCTATGAATGCTATCACTGGGTGTATTGGTCATAATACACTAAGGATTCAAGGCACTATTCTAGGCAGGCCACTGAACATATTAATTGACAGTAGTAGCACCCACAGTTTCTTAACACCTTAGTGGGCTGATGCATGGATTCAGGTAACTACACCATATCCTTTAGTTATTACAGTGGCCAATGGACAACAGTTTTTCAGTACAGCTAGGTGTAACAGGGTGGAATGGCAAATGCAGGGACATTCTTTTATTCATGATTTTAGACTTCTTCAATTAGGGGTAAGTGATATGGTCCTAGGTGTTGATTGGATGAAGTTAGTCAGTCCTATCTTGATGGACTTTAATAAACTGACACTCAGTTTTGTACATCAATATGAACAGATTGTGATACATGGCCAACAACCCTCGAATTTTTTGCAACAGATTTCAGGAGCTACACTATTGAAGATGATAGTTTTAAATTTTGCTTTATTGGGGTATGCTGTTTTGATGAATATAACAGAAGGTTCAAGGCCTACTCCTACAACTATTCAACCATTATTGGAAAAATACAATTCTATTTTTGTTGAGCCTACAGGTCTTCCACCTACAAGAACTCATGATCATGCTATCACTTTAAAGCCTGATTCTATGACTGTTAATTTAAGGCCTTACAGATTCCCTCATAATCAAAAAACTGAAGTGGAAAAACAGATTGCTACTATGTTATCTTCTTCTATTATTCAACCTAGCAAAAGTCCTTTTGCTTCTCCATGCCTTCTCATTAAAAAGAAGGATGATACATGGAGGTTCTGTGTTGATTATAGACAGTTGAACAACATGACAATTAAGAATAAATTTCCTATTCCTGTTGTTGAGGATTTATTAGATGAGCTATATGGGGTTGTCTACTTTTCAAAGATTGATCTCAGGTCAGGTTACTGGCATATCAAGATTAAAGAGAAGGACATTTATAAAACAGTATTCCGAACTCATCAGGGTCATTATGAATTTAAGGTAATACCCTTTGGGTTAACTAATGCTCTTGAAACATTTCAGGCTTTGATGAATGAATTATTTAGTTCATTCCTTAAGAAGTTTGTTTTGGTGTTTTTTGATGATATATTAGTTTACAACAACTCTATGACAGACCATATTATGCATTTACAATTGGTTTTGGATGTTTTTCAAAGTAATCAACTATTTGCAAAACTATCTAAGTGTTTCTTTGGTCAGACCCAAGTAGAGTACTTGGGCCATATTATTTCAGCTGCTGGTGTTGCTACTGATCCTAGCAAGGTAGAAGCAATGAGAAATTGGCCTTTACCTAAATCCTTAAAATCATTGAGGGGATTTTTAGGGTTGACAGGCAATTATAGAAGATTTATAAAAGATTATGGGACTATTAGTAAACCTTTGACTCAGATGCTGGAAAAGGATTGTTTTAAGTGGCACAGTGCATCTTTGACTGCTTTTGAAGAACTTAAGAGAACTATGTGTCTTGCACCTGTGTTAGCTCTACCAAACTTTACTAATTTTTTTTAGAGAC